CAAAGTAATGGGATGGATCTGAAAAGGGTGACTCTCTGTCAAGTTTTCATGGCTTTGGGACCGATCCTGAATGAGCTCCTCTGGGACCCCTGGAGACTCAACCCACACTTTGACCCAGGTTAGCTGGGCACTGCCCTGCACGCTGTCTGCCCAAGGGAGCTTCCCCTGCCCCAGAGTCTGGTTCCAATCTTCCTGCAGCATTTCCAGCCCTGTGCAGGTCTGGTAGCAATTATGCCGCATTAACTGAGGAATTCTAGGGAGCTCAAGCGCCTGGGGCAGGGATTTTGTTCTGATCAGCGAAGGGGTGCACTGGGGGGAGAGCGAGGAGGGATGGGCAGGCATTCAGGCAGCTGTCCCTGCAGGAACACAAAGACCCTCAGAGGCCCCTTTGTCAATAGGTACTGACTGGGCAGCATGCCTGCACTCCCGACCATGTGGAGGCTCTTTTGCTGGCCTCAGCAGAATAGCCGCCTAAACCTACAACAGCTGCCTCCACCAAGAGGTTGAGAGGTTAGGGCAGCTTCAGTGCCAAGAGTTTCCCAATCTAGGTCACTTGACCCACATGGGAGAGGAGTTGCAGGGAGGCAGAAGGGCAAGCTGTGTCATCATGGAAGTAAGAGGCTACTGGGATACAATGGTGAGCGGAGAGAAAGATAAGGTGCGGTGTGAACAGATCCTAGAAGGGAAGACAAATATATTTTGCACCAATCCAGTTGTAATAAATGGGATTTGGTGTCTGCAGCTTTTCAGTTTAGGGAAAATGTAAGACAGAATATGGTAGAGGTACGTAAAATTATGCAGGCATAGAGAAAGTGGGAAAGGTTTGGAGGGCCTGGATAATAATATTATAATAATAATTTATTATTTATACCCCGCCCATCTGGCTGGGCTTCCCCAGCCACTCTGGGCAGCTTCCAAAAAAATATTAAAATACCGTAATACATCAAACATTAAAAGCTTCCCTCAGTTGGTTAGAGTGTGGTGCTGATAACACCAAGGTTGCAGGTTCAGTCCCCATATTTGACAACTGCATATTCCTGCATTGTAGAGGGTTGGACTAGATGATCCTCAGGGTCTCTTTCAACTCTATGGTTCCCCCACATCTCATAATATTAGAACTCAGCGCTAACCAATGAAGCTGAACGTTGGACAGGCAAAAGAAACTAACAGCGCAGTTAAACTGTGAAAATCGCTCCCGTAAGAGGCAGCAACGGCCACCAACACGGATGGTTTTGAAAGAGAATTAGGCGAATTCATGGACATTAACAGTGCCTGCTAGCCCTAATGGCTAGACTCCCACTGCCAGAGTCCATAAGGCTCTGAATAGGAGTTGCTTGGAATCACAAGTGGAGAGGGCTGTTGTGCTCAGGTCCTGCTCGCAGGCTTCCCATAGGCACCTGGCTAGCTGCTGTGAGAGCTGAATGATGGATTAGATGGGCCATTGGCCTGACTTGGCAGACTCTTGTTATTAATTTCAATGGAAAGCGCACAGGGATGCCCAATAGCTCCAAGCTGAGCAATATTTGAAGCGCTAGAGCAGAATGAGCCTGGGCTAGGAGCATAAGAAACAAATGGATATCAAGTCAAGACTATTGATCCACCTGGCTCAGAACTGTCAATATTGTGGGCAACTAGCAGGCTACTCTCCAGATGTTGTTTAGTCATGTCCTACTCTTCATGACCCCATGGAGCAGGGCACTCCAGGCACTTCTGTCTTCCACTGCCTCCCGCAGTTTGGTCAAACTCATATTATACCACGATAGCCATCATCCCTGATCATTGGTCATGTAAGTCCAGGTTGACCGTTCACCAAATGGAGGGTTACTCCTGGTTTACACTGATTGGCAGTGGCTCTCCTTGATTTAAGACAAGTGTCGTTTCAGACCCAACCTGGGTATGGAATCTGCAAGGGGCCTTTTGCAGGTGCAACAGGCACTTCACCAGTAAGCTAGAACTCTTTCCCATTGGGAAACTGGCCTAAAGCTGTTTCTGCAAAAGAGGTTGGAGCATGCCAATTCTGAATGTAGAAAGAAATCATATATGTAGCACTTCTATGTTGCAAATTGCAGAGTCCTGATGCATTTCAGATTCTACAGATTTCCAGAAGCATGGCCACGTTTCTTCCAGCAAAAAGAAGTGTCCCACAGCACCCTAAGCCTGATACACTTATTATGGCAAAAGGTGCCACCAAAGCTCTTCAACAGTGTTTGATACTGAGGCTGCATTCATAAAGCCCAGAGAGAAACCCCTATTTAACACAGTACAACCGATTTCTGATTTCCAGCTATTCCCCTGAACTCACCTTTGCCCATCTGGTACCCTGCAGATGTTCTCGACTACAATTTCCATCAGCCCCAGCCACTGCTGGGAGTTGTAGTGCAAAAACTCTGTAAGGCAACAGATTGGCAGAGGCTACTGTAAATTTCTAGAGCTCTGAATGCAGCCAAGCATGGCCAATGGATCAACTTCTTCTTTCTGGCACTTGTAAAGAGCAGCAGAAAGCAATGCCAGGAGATACACTTACCCAAATCCACCCATTCAGTTCATGCAGCATAAAATATGGCATTTTATTGAATTGCTTCTAAGGTAATTTTATTTAATTGACTTTATGCACTTATATATTTTATCTTCTGTAGAAAAAGAAATACAACACTATGCAGTTTAGAAACTTTTTTTTTTTAAAAGAAAATCCTGTTGCGAGAGAAAGCAGCAAATGACTTAATAAGCTTTTGACAACCCACCCATCTCTCTCTGACGGTAATATGAAAACAACTCAGGATAGAAATGAGTTGAAGGAATCCAGGGAGCAGCTGGTAAAATATTCATGGCATTTGCACTCCTGCTTTCTTAAATGTTTGTGGGGCGGGGAAAGAGGAATGCCATGACACCTGCCTGTCTAGTTAATTGGAAGCCCAGGACCTTGACCCACTAGTAATCTCTGGTTCCTGCCATAATGAAAGTAGCAGCTTTGTGGCATGGAGAGCATAAGGAATAGGTGTGACTACTTTAAACAAAGAAAAAACAAGGAAGTTGTCCTGGAGAGGGGAAGAAAGCAGCCTTCCAATAATTAAACAGGCCCACAAAATGGAGGGCTGCTGCCAGACAACACGACCACAAGCCAGTGAAAGTTCCAATGATTTTCATACAAGAACTCTATATGAAAGGGAAATCTTGCTGTTGTTTGCTGCTTGTTAAAAATAAAATATATATGTTAAGTGCTTCTGCACATGAATCATTTCATAATGAATCACCAGCTCTCTGAAATAAAATGTAAACTGTTATTTCTTAAAATGAACTTTGGGACTAGTGATCATCCATGAAAGACACTGAAGACATTTCTCCACACTGGTAAAATATTGGGTTGATGACTTGTTTGGTGCCCATTTACTCAACACCAAATGGAGGTTCTTTGCTTTCCTCGTCCGGGACAGATGGGATGAGAAATCACCCAGTAACACTTGACTTGGTTTAAGATGCAAGGTTAGTTTCTGCTGTGGGATTTAGGGCCCATTGTGACAGCCATGCAAATATGTGCACAAGTTACTTGCTAGCTGACAAATAAAATACCGTTGCTCACACATTCCCTCTCGGATATTTGAGGTACAAAGAAAGCCTGAAGGAATCCACTCTCCTCCAGTTTAGGAATGCTGCCTTCCCTTGTTATCTACAAGGGAAGTTGGTGCAGGCAAGACTGCATTGTCTTCTATAAGAAGCCCAGTTAAGAATAAACACTGAGGGATGGAACGAATGAGTCCTGTCAGTGGAAGCCCTGTCTAAGGGCTATGGTTTGCATACAACAAGGCTCCCCCCCCCAATCTCCTAGCTGCCCCATACCCTGAAATTGGCTTGGGGGAGAATGGGAACAGCATGCAGCAGGAGGAAAGGAGGGACTGTTTCATTTAGCAAGCCAAAATGCTTGTGCTGACAGAACAATCCGACAAGTGCAGTGTAGAATTCACCCCCTTCTTAATTGCTGGACTGGATAAAAATCATGTAAGAGTTTGGGCAATTAAGGGACAAAGTTCTGCCAGCAGTGGACAGGGTTAAAGCCATTTCCACACCATATTCACACAAATCTCTCATGGGCAGTTTGACGGCAAGATGCTCTGAAGTCCCACCCCACTGCTCGGACGGTTTCTCACCAGTCAGCCAAATGTGAGGGTGGGTGGGGAGAAGGTTGCCCTGATTGAAACTTTGCTTTGTGTGAGATCCCCCATCCTCAGCCCAGTGCTGCTCAGCCCATTGGCAAAAAAAAACACCAAAAAAACACACCAAGCAGTGAAGAAAATGGGGGTGCAATAGGGCAGAAGGGCGAAGGAAGGTGTAGGCCCTTGGAGGAAATGACAGCAGGGGACCCAGTGGACCAGAGGTTCCCCCCTCCTACTGCAGGGGAAATTCACTCTCCAGAACACCTACAATCCAGTCTAAGAGGAAAGGCCCTGTTGCCTCATCCTGCTTTGTTTAACTGTCCTCGGTCTTAGTCCAAGCCCTTCTTTACCAGCCGAGAGGCAGGAAACTCAACAGAGACTTTTCCTGTGACAGACCATTTGGCTCTGGAGAGCTGACAGGTATCCGGAGCTCAACGCCATACCACTCAAGCTCTCCTTGGCAGAGAAACCCTGTATTTATTCTCACCTTGCCCAAAGCGGTTGTTTTAAATATCCCCGACGTCAAGTTTGTTTCACTCCATCGGCCTAAAAAAAACACAACAGCAGGGAAATCTGAATGGACAGCAAGCTCCTTACCCCAGCCCTGCAGTCAATGTCTGTCAGATTTTTCCTGGCCTACTGAGCGTTGTCAAGCTCAAAGTGGCGGCCTTCCTCCAGTGACAACTCACAGTGTTGTTGTGCTCCTTCCCACGGTGGCACTAGGCCCAGCGCGGCCTAGCTAGCTGCGATCCTCCTACACAACCAGCACTTCTCTACCACACGGGCATGCAGCTCTTTGACACAGAAATACGGCATTAACCCACCCCACCCCCCGCAAAAAAGAGGACTTTCCTTTTTTTTTGTAAAAAGACTTTTATTGGAAAAGAGGGGGCATTGTAAAAAGCAAAGAGGGCTTACCCAGCACCAGTAAAAGGAGGACAAGGCCACAGTGTCCCAGCAAATACAGAGACAAGAAGGGACAGAAGGAATGAGGACATTGTGACTGAAAAAGATAAGACAATGCTCATAACTCTAGGGAGATTCTTGGGTGGTGAAGGAAAGGCAAAAGGTGGTTTGTTGACAAAAGGTCAAACACAGCTCATGGAAAACACACACCTTCCAGATGGTCTGCTTATGAACAAGCCTGTACTGGATATATATATTTATATATACTGGAGGGGGGAGGCAGAAACAGACATTCACACACAGCACCTGGGCAGCAGGCACTGATTTAGCCCCTTGTAAGTCTGAGGGGCTCAAAGCGACACCAAAGTAAGTCCTACTGCACACAGTCACCTTATGAGGAATGTAAGGCAGGCATGGGGCTCCCCCCTTCTCATTAACTCCCCCCTTTCCCCTCCCCTCCATTACACTCTCCAAATCAGTTTCCTTGGCTAGCTTAATTTGGAGTTTTGCCTATGGGAAGTTGCATGGGGGACGAGGAAACCACAGGCCTCGCTGCCAAGCTTGCAAGAGAGAGAGAGAGAGATGCGCCAAAGGGCCATATGGCTTCAGCCAAGGAGCCCAAAGGTGAAGAACTCTATCCACAACTTACCAGAGCCCAGCCCCATCTCAAAACACAGTGCGGAATTCCGGGGAAACAAACCAGAGCAAAGAGCACTGAGATGCACAGATCGGCAGGAGGGGAAGCATGGTAGAAAGGAGATGTTACAGGGAAGGCAAAAGGGCGCTTTCTTCACGACAGGGTGGGCTTGCTCCCTAGGAAACTAGTGATTAGAAACGGTATGTCAGTGAAGGGCAAGGTTGTGGAGGCAGAAGAGGGGTGGGATGTGGCAAAAGGGCTGCCAAGCTGGGAGGGACCACGCTGGAGCTCCAAGTGGTGTGTGTCCAAGAGGGTTCAGGCACCATGCCCTGAAGACAGTGGGGCTGCATCCATCGTTCTAGTCCTTCCCCTTTCCTTTTCTGGCTGCTTGAAACAAATGGAAGATCATTAGTGCAACACACCACATACAGGGGCCCCACACATTCTCATTTATTTCTGTGCTGGTCTGGCATTTACTAGCACTCTTAACACGCCAGTTGACCACTAGTCTCCTGGACTTGCATTAGCATACAGGCTGTGCATCTGGAGCACATCCAGTCTTGTTGCTTTTTGGGTTCCTCCTGTCTGGACACTTGCACTTGCCTTGCAGGTGGGAAGATTCTACCATTTATTGGCACCTCACTCCAGCCTCCAGCTTCTCCCCATTCACACAAATGCACCCCTGGGGGACAGACACTGTGGGCTTTAGATTCCTCTCAGCACCTGAAGCACCATATAATTGCAATCTTGTCATTACCTGGGTGCTTGTGAACTATCACGGGTATTTTCTTGTAAAAGGTCAGCACGTATAAAGACACCAGTGAGACAAACACTCAGCTCATGAGTCAGCTGTAGTTCTCCAAACAATACTGTGTTGCCAGTGTGTTTTAGAGCAATATGGCAATTGCCTAGAAAACTTCATGTTTCCTAATTTGCCACCCCTAACACAGGAGTTATATCCTTCTTGGATCATCAAGAGTAATGCGTGGCAAATTATCTAAGGCAGAAAAAGGGAGCCTAAGAGCTGGGACTCACCTTTGGATTTTGACTTGGCCTTAGGAGAGCAGGGCTTGGTCACTTGTATAGTTTCCTGGCACTCGGCATTGTAGAGGGCCTTCTTCAGAGTGCCCGAACGGGACTTCAGACCTGTTGCCGAGTCACAACCACCCCAGCTCTCAAACTTATACTTGCAATCAGCTAGGAGAGAAGTTAAGAGCCATTAGATCTGTTCTAGCAAACAAACAATGGTCCTGCCCGTGAGACACCTAAGATCCTAAAGAGTGTTCACCATGGCTATCTACCAAATTACTGGGACTAAATGTTAGCTGGATCAGGGTAAATGGACTGGCAGTGACTGCTGCACAACATTGTCATGGAACTAGGAACTTTGTGGTTTGTAGGCCTGACTCTTTTAAAATACAACACCAAACAAACAGGTAATTTTCAAGGGCCTGGTACGTGGATAAACACCAATGCAGCATGACCATACCTCTTGTATATTTTCCTATCTGCTGTAAATAGCAAGCAAACAAAGGGGAGGAATCCACAGTGGAGGGAAACAGGAAGCTGCAAAGCTAGCACTGACTGCCAAACCTCTCCTCCAGCCGGCCACAACCTAATTCCTCACTAACCTAAATAGAGAAGAAGCAGACACAGGATCATGGAAGTAAAAAGGAAGTGGGAATAGCAAGACAAAGGGAATGTGTGAGGTTTGGCTTAAAAGTGTAGAAAGCTTCCACTCAGCATTCAAGCCACTTAATTCTCTGCTCAGATCCAAGTTATTTTCTGGAATCTACTGTCCTCTGTACTCCTGGATCCTCCTTGATCCCACTGCCCTGAGAGTTGTTGGAAAATGCTGGTATATCAGGAGTCGCTCAGAGTATTGGACTAAGTATGGACAGATAATCTGGTATCTCGACAGAAGGCAAGTGACATGGAAGCTGTACGTTATTTCTTGGTGATGGCAACCTTTTCAGTGGGACCCAGATAAAAGGGACTCTGCCGCATACTGCCATCACCATCTTGTTTCCCTTTGGATCCAAGACCCCCTACCAGAATCTCTCTGGCCTTCAACCACCATATTCTCTCTCAGATAAGGAGTAAGGTAGAAAGGTAGAGTGTGTGCTTTGCACCCAGAAGATTCCAGGTTCAATCCCTGGCACTTGCAGGCTGGATGAGCCATCTAGGCAAAACTGAGCTTGAGGGACTGATAGTCCAGCTTGGTATAAGGCAGCCACATCTATGTTCCTAAGCAGAAGGACAGTCTTCCCCAACCGTCTGCCTCCAGATGTTGTGGACTTCAACTCTCATCAGCCCTAGCCAGCACAGTCAATGGTCAGGGATGAAGGGAGTTGAAGTCTAACAACATCTGGAGCACATCAGGTTGGGGAAGTCTGCTTCAAATGAATGACAGCTGCCAGAAACCACAGTCAAGTATCTCTGCGGAAAGCCCAGTTGCCTCCAGAAGCCACAGGATGTGCTTCTAATGCAGAAGTGCTGGGTGCAGAACGAGCACATTATCAATTGCAAACTCACTGTAAACAGCAAAAACCGACACTGCATTAACGTCGGCAGTAAGTTGGCATACGGTGTGCACATGACCCCCAAGACTGCATGCACACTCCTCGCTGACTGCCTGCAATCGTTCCAGGCAAAGAACCACAATTTCTCCAGAATTTGTTAAGCCGGTGGGCTGGCTGGCTTCCCAAGGTCCCATTTAAGACTGGTGTGTCATTCCCTAAGTCTCACCCTTCTCTCTCTCAGAACAAGACACACACTCACCTCCAAATTCCTTCTTCCAGTTGCAGGGGATCTTGCACTTGAGTTTCTTGGTCTCTTCGTTACAAGTTCCCTCGCGGAAGCCAACACCACAGTCTTTGCTGTTGGGAACGCAGGGACCCCAGCGCCATTCCTCGCAATCCGAGCCATTTTTCTTCACCTTTTCTGCATTGGCCATAGGGGAGCCAGCAATCATTATAACACACAACAAACAGCTTCTCCTTTTCCCCCAGGCCACTGTAAGGCATTAAATGCAGCCCCTGCCCACGCCCTGCAAGCAAGCCCTCAGAACATCAAGCTGCAGACAGGGCCTCATCCCACTTGCTAGCCAGAACGCTCCCAGTCAGCTCACCTTTCTTATTCTTGCCAGCCTCAGAAGATGCAGCCAGAAGAATCAGAACCAAAAGCAAATAGAGTCCACGGACCTGCATTCTGTAGAAGGAAAGGATAAGGAGTCAACTTGTGCATCAAGGCCCTGCAATGATGGCTGGTGCTCAATGGAACTGTTAGGGCGGAAGGCAGGGAGGCCAACAGTAGGTGGCGCCAGAGCCAATGACAGGAAGAGAAAGGCAATTCTAGTTTTATCCCCATCCACCTTCTCCCTGTTGACTTCTGCAAGAGCAACATTAAGAGTATGGAAACTGAAACGCAGAAGGTTTGGGAATCAGTTATTAGTACTGGCTGTATGATTCGCAACATATTTTGAGCAAACAGCTCTCTTTCTGAGGGCTGTTATCAATGGTACTTTCTTTAATAACTTGTGCTAATAGACTGGCAACCTCAGTGACTTCTGCAAGAGTGACTCAGTTTGGAGAAGGAGATACAAACAGTGATCTGACAAAGAGCTATTTGCCTGAAACACAGAGAGTAGACCCACTGAAATTAATAGACCTGGTTAACTAAGAGGTCCATTAATTTCAATGGGCTACTCTGAGCAGGACTAGCACTGGAGACGACCCACTGGGATTAACACAATGCCTTTGAGAGCATTTCTTCCCTGCCATTGCTGGGATGTCTGTCTTTTCTTGCTCTGTTGTGCTTCCCTTTTTTGGTGTGTTGTGCCACTTGGCAAGCCCACACAAGGCCTGCACTTACTGAGACACAAACACACCATTCCCACAGTGGTGTGAGTCAATGGGCCTTTGGCTCACAATGAGCCTTTGGCCCACAAGGTAAAACAAAATGACGTTATTCTCCTGTACCTATTGAATCCTGTGGGCCTATGGCAGAAACTGAACAAGACTCGGGGCCTTTCCCTCCTTTTAATAAGCAAATAAATAATCTGAGGAGCACTGCAAACTTTCTACCCCACCCTGGTCTCTGACACCCCCCTTTCCTAGACTGCAAATCTAGAGCCACGAAGTGGAAACTGGGAAAAAGCAAACCTGCCAAAGGGATTTATGCTGCTGCTGCCTTTCGGAAGCCAGAAGGCTTCTGCGGGCTGGCAATAGTGAGGCCCTGCTCCCCACTCCCCTCAAATGCTCCCACATTTTCCCTCATTTCCCACTGCCTCTTTTATCTGGTGCTCAGCAGGCTACCTCGCCAATGCCAAAGCTCCCCGAGGTCGGGGGGATCTCAGCTGCCATGGAATCTTTATCCAGCTCAAAAAGAATCCAGGGTGGGAAAAGAAGCCCCCAACAGGCAGAGTTTTTGAGAACTAAAACAGAAGATTAAAAATAAAAGCCCAACACAATTAGATCTCATGTGGAGCTTTAGAAGGCAGGCTGCTCCCCCTGCTGGCTCTCTTAATGTCAGCCTATTACCATATCCCCACAAAAGGTCTATCTATGGAAACAAGGCTCAGCGAGAGAGCGCAAGCAAGAGTGTGCCCGTGTGTGTGTGTATGTGCGCACCATAAAGAAGGGGAACTGCAGGTGTAGAGAAGAAGCAGGGAAGTGTGTGCACTGTAGCATTGCAGCATGTAAGCTAGGATGTGTTTCTGCCCACAGACGTCAGTGCAGTACACCAAGAGATCTGAACTGCCTCCAGGGCAGAGGTTGAGAGTAGCGGAGTATTCAACAGGCAGTTTGGTGAAGCACCATTCATCTATGGCCTAGCTAGAGTGAACTAGTGGCCAGCCTTGCGATTCTCTTCTTAAAACAACAGCAGCACTATTTTGTTTCAACAAAGAGTCTCACGAGAACATTGGAGGAAAGACATGTAACTCAGGTTGTTTTATTTTTCCAATACCTGGGAACAGGTAACAGGGCACGAATGCAAATCTTACTCACCTGGAAGAGTCCAGCAGTAATGAAATAATAAATAAAGGTAGATTCAGCATACTCATTCACCTGGTGCTCCCACACTAAGAGTGGTGATGGAGAAAAGTAGGGATGTACCAGAAAGCAAAGGGACTGCTTAGTTCTACAGAATCTGCAAGAGCATCCTTTTCTGTATGTACAATGTTTTTCAGTGGCACCAGGATGACAAACTGTGAGTATGTCTATACCACGGAGGGGGAGCTCTTTTGTTTGCCACTGGATTTTGGTAATTTTGGCCTTAATTTATCAAGTACTGGAATGCTGAGGTACTGCACTGCCAACAACCACAGCTGATTTCAGCTGCAGTTCTGCAACTCCTGAAATGGTTACAGGGGCCCCCAAAGAATAAGTGGATGGCACAACTTCCATCTGGGTTTAAAATATAGATCCTCCTACTCTCCCCCACAGTATTTGCATCACAAATCTCATAAATTAACTTGTAACAGAGAAGATTGAGCCACATGCAAAACACCAAAATTATTCCCCCTTACACCTCTGAATTCTAATTCTGCAATTTGCATACATGATGCACATGTTCATGCTTGTTTTGCATGTTTTATTCTAATTCCCATAGGCACGAAGCAGACTACGCACGGTACCAAAGCTCTATCCTTGAACCAATGAAAATCCTGATCAGCCATTTCCTGGCTTCCGAGTTGTCAACACTGTCTACAGAGCCTAAAGCTTAGAATATTTAAAAAGATACATAAAAATAAAACGTGATTCTCAATATCATGACTGATACATGATTTCAAAGTTGCATGGTGCTGCAGCGGAATTTACATAGTTCTATATACTAAAGGTGAGTGGTAGCACTCTAGGCTGAAGCTAAGGCCCCAGGGACCTGGGCATGAGGACTAGAAACTTAGCTTAGCTGTTTAGTTAAGGCTTCTGGCAGATGATGGATCTGGGGCTTTTGCAGTGCGGTGGTTTTGCATTGACTTTGAAAACATGCAACAACTTCACGGTATCTTTGTTGTGCTGGGGGATCTAACTAGCACATGTCTTCCATTATATGCACTTGTGGGATATTTAATCCTCCTTCCAATATGCCCGTGAAGAGGAAAAAAGTGGGGGAAGGAGAAAAACAGGTTATAAATGGTGCTTTGGACGAGGCAACTTGGAAGTGTATCAGACACAGTCCTTTGCCTCTGCCCCCACTGCCAGAGCAGTTCAGAGGAACCGATTGCATCACAGACAGGGATGAAACATGCCGTGCTCAGTGTAGGGGAAAGAAATAGCCCGGAGGACCGAGGGAAAAGAAACACTAGGTCAGCATTTTTGCCCCTTCCCCCACAGTGTCCCCCAGGCAGCCCACTGCAGAGAGCAGCTCTCTTCATTATTCAGGCTCCACTGGGCTCACCTTTTGTATGTCTGTTGCTGTGAAGCGGCCGGATTCATTCTGAATTGAACTGTCACAGAGAATTACACAGGCTGGGGAGCTGAAGGCAACGCCTAAGGGACGAAGGCCACTTCCCCTGCCCCCTTCAGCAGGGGAACTCCCCTCGGGGGAGACAAGGGCCTGTCAAGGCAGAGCCCAAGAGGGCAGGAGCTCAGCACCAAGAGTGGTCCAGATCCAAGCTCTTCCATGACTGGAATATCTGACAACAAGATTTGCCAGATGTGGGTCATGGCGGTCTGAGCCATTTGTCCCCCTTCCAGTGGGAGTTAAGGAGGCAAAGAATGGCTTCTGCTAGGCTCAATAACAGATACCTAGCAAGTTGAAACCTAAACAATCTCTATGACCATCTACTGTAAAGCTTAAGTCATTTAGGAAAGAGTAATAGCAAGAGTCTAACATAAATAATACCCTAGATGAATATATTGTGTTCATTTTGTGGGGAGGGGAACACTTTCTTTCTGGACCAATTCTCACATTAGGGTTTGCAATCTGGTTGCTGCTTCCACTTGGTCAAGTTATGGTAAGTTTTGAACCAAGCAGGAATTTAATTTATTTGTTACATTTATATTTTGGCTTTGGCTTTGTGGGGATCAGAGCCTGGGTTCTTCAATCTGAATCGAACACCCTTAACCGCTTACACAATGTGGGCTGGGCAGATGTTGTTCAACTTTCTATGATAGCCCTGTGGCCTCCAAGAAGTGCTGGCAGTGATGTCAGAAGTAACCCCATGTTCTGCCAATCCTTGATGCGTCTTCCTGCTTCAGAAGCTGCTGGCACGGCATGAGACCTGGTTGCACAGAGCAGCAAACAGACCGCAGAGGTAACAAATCAATCCAGGCTGAATGTCCCTCCCCACCAAACAGTGAACATGGATTATTCCCCCAGGAGATCATCTTCAACTTCTTCTTCTTGTTATTAATATTATCTGAATAATTTTCACTGTGGGAAAGTGCTGCACAGCAACCAGGCATGGCCTGAAGGCCAACTCAGCTCACAAGATCTCTGTGGGATTCCTTGTTTCTTTCCCTACAGCTGATGATATCTGTAATGACTGAAACTAGTTGCAAGAAGGTAGGGAAACTATAGCCTAAATATGGAAGCAACGGCAATACACATTAATGTAGGTTTACTCAGTGCACTTCTGTCTTGAGCTGGCATTTTAAATCGGATCAGATCCTGGCTTATCCTAATCTGTTTGGATGTTATGGAGAACTCTGACTTAAATGCAAGCAAGATCTCCACACTGAAACCAGCGTATAAAGGAGGGGCAAGGGAGGAGTACATGGCCACAGTACTTGTTCATGGCTTCATCTTCTACTATATATTTTGGAATGTTACTTTTTCTATTTGCTGTGCCTTTGGACATTTCTTAACATCTCTTAACCAAATTTTATGTGATGGTTCCTGAGATTGAGGGGCAAGTCTTTCTTGGATAAAATTGGACTCCATTTTGAATCAAGATGGAGAACTGAACCTTTCAAAAATGTATTTTTAAACTACCCATTACAAAATTGCCCTGGTTCCCCCCCCCCTTAGCATTCCCAATCAACATGAGGGTACAGGGCTGCTTGTAAACTATGGTATATGAACTCTGGGACAAATGTCTGAACCTGGCCTATTTGGTTAAGTGCAAAAGCATCAGTACAATATCCATTTTGTTCTTCATTTTGCCTTTATTCCTCTTTCTAATGCTGCCTGGCTCTTGTGTGCTACGAATTCCACAGTAAGAGCCTCATCTCCTCTGGACTGGCCTATTGCAGTTTTATCAT